AGCAATCAGGCCCATTTCAAGGCTTACCTCTTGATCTGGTGATGGGCAATCGGAGGAGGAGATCGGATACCGGCAAACCGACTTTCAACAATCGGAGGAGATGCTCGATCGTTTTCTTTGATTGCAAAAAATCAAATCCCTAAAACCCAAAATACAGGCGGAATAAAAATCAAAACGAAATCCAAATGTTCAGACCAAAAAATTTCGCACGGTTAGAGAGGTTTACCTCTTGAATTGATGATGATAGACGGGCAGTCGTCGTCGGAGGAGATGGGCGACCTGCAAACGGACAATCACGCGGAGGAGAAACCAACCGAGCTCCGACAGGCGAACGGAGAGAGACCGGCGAATGGAGAGAGAGACCAAATCTCAAACGGAGAAGAGGGGAGAGGATAGAACGCACAAGAATTTTTTTTTGCAGGGGACGAGAGTGATTCCGGAGAGGAGGTGAGCGGAGGAGAGTCGGGGGAGATGAAATGAAAATGTGTTTTGGATGTGGTAAATTTTAACTTTCATTGAGGGTAAAATTGGAAATAGAAAATTTCATTAAAACCTCAAAATAAATTCCCGTATAATCTAACATCAGAATCAGCCTTAAGGCTGATTCTGCTTTTAACTTCAGATTGGAAGAAAATTATTCAACAATATGTTTTACCAAACAACTTTTTAGATTTTAGATGTGTGAAAAAGTGCTTTTTCTCTCCTAGAATCAATACCAAACCCACCCTAAAGATGAAGTCAGAAAAGAGCATGACTTTACCTATGATGCACATAAACATGTTTATCAATAACACATAGTACATATGTAACTTACTCTCAAAGACTTCTCAGAATTTTGAGCTTGTCGTTTAAGTTCTTCATTTTGGTTCTGAAGATCAATTGATTGCCAACGCAAAAGAGACTGCAGCCAAATAGTTAGGATTCTTTTCAATAAGAGAAGAAAGTGATCTTAATCTATATCACATTGTACATGATCACACCTTCTCATTCTTAAGATTAGAAAATTTCCATCAAGCAATAGTTTAACTTCTCATGATTACTAGTACTTGACTTTTCTTGAAGATTACTCTGACACATGAAAGCGTTGATGTCTTGTATTGAAACAAATAGTATTCAACCTTTAGGCAATCATAAGATAGAACAATGGATATAAACTTCAGGAAACAACACGAAAGGAAGAAACTTTAACAACTTAAGGCTCTTGCCTCTTAGACAGTAGCTATTAGAATAATCATTACAAGATGTTTCAAGAATACTCACAAGGAACGTCTTAATTCGGTCAGAAAAAGTATTGGAGACCTCATCCAGAATTGAAGTCATACTCTCACTAACCACTTTTGAGTGAATAATTAAACCTTGTGAAAAACTTAGAAAGTTGACATGGAAAATGTATTGACCAAGAAAGAATGAACTGATCTCTCTGACAAGAACACATACGTTCACACAAGAATCGGCACACAAACTCTACAAGGAAGATGTAATTTAATACAAGAAAATTCCAACCAAAAGCATCTTGCATATGCAACACATTGGCTGCTAAATTAAAAGCTGCACCTTCAAGGACCGAATTCACCAAGTATCTGACATGTTGGCAACCAGAGCCATAGTAGTGGCCACCACCACCTTTTCAGCCCACATCATTTATCAACAAAGAGCCATTCAAATTGAATTTGCTTCAATAAATTCAAAGAGCCTATTTTGTTGAGAGAGAGAGCAAGATAATTTCTCCATGGTAGTCTTATTATGGTGGAAAGGACAATACACAACAATATAGATGAACACAGAAAGATCATACAATATCACCACAACATATGAAGGAACTCTGATGGGTGATGTGATGATCCAACAAAGAAACAGATTAGCTTCTGGAAGTAAGAAACTGAAGTTCTAGCTCATAAACGTTCAAATATTTGTCCTATTTTAAATGAAAAACATATCTATCCCATCACATAACGCCAATAATGAACTCAAACCTTACCTCTTCAAACTTCTCTTCGGCGCGGACGCACATGCTTAGCTCTGTTACCCAACATCACTAGCCAGATTTTGCTGGCTTGAAGCCTTCTCTAGTTCCAACATCTTAGAGGGTGTTTGGTATGAGGATCCGTGCCATGGTTTGAATCATGGTTCGTGGCTCGCTACAGTGTTTTCTCTCACAAAAAACACACATAAATCGAGAATGATTCTGAATCATGATTTTGAATCCGTGAACCATACGTCCACTTAATTTGCAAGATTGAAGATAGATACTAAAGTAAAAGGCAAGACATCTATCTTAAAACAGTATTGGCTACACATTGCAATGATATAATAAATAAACAAACACAAAGATCTATAAACAAGAAAAGGGGAAAAATGAGCATAAACCTGTTCTTTAAGACTTTTGATCACTTGATTAGCCTCTGACTACTTTGAATTGACATTCCCGTCCCCATTAATCGTACTTCATTGACACAACATGCTGAACATTCCTTATTAGCACCAAATAATAAATCAACCTCAGCTAGCTTTCTTGTCAAGCAATCAATTTTTATCTCACTCTCAATTCTCTGGGTGCAAAACATAGATAAAAATAAGGATTACACTTATCAAATTCCATATGAAATTGGGAACTGAGAAGAAATTACAACCAGCATTTCAAATCTCATTAGCAAATCTTCATATTCTGCTGGTATATCTGTTGATTCGTTGTCCTACCAGAAATGAGACAAGCATATGTGAAAGGTTGCAAATTGTGAAAATTTAACAAAAGAATAGAATTAGACCAACAAAAAAAAAAAGAAGACAAAAAGACAAAATAGTAAAGGAAAGGGCAAGGTTACAAACAATGGATAAGCTTTTCTTTTTGTGCGGCAATTTTCTCCTATTTGTGATATGCAATAGAGATAAGTTTATAGGACCGCCTCTTGTCAAAAGATAACAAAATCAACGTAGATTCGCTCTATGTGAGTAAATTTCTAAAAGATAGGAATACGAACTGACCTAACTTTCGAGGAATCCAACCAGGTGCCGCCTATTGTAATCAACTATAATTTCACATAACATCAATAATTGAATGATAAGTGTTTTATAAGTAAAACAAGAAAAACAATGTCAAGGCTATATCATACCTTTAGAGGAATACAAAAACCAGATATCTTTAAAATTTGGTCCTTCAAAACTTGTCAACAATTTGACTCAGTCGATGTTGTGCTAATGGTAAAGTCCAGTTGTGCACTTTAGTCACAATCCAATTTAGTCCTTCAAAACTTGTCAACAATTTGACTTAGTCGATCTTGTGCTAATGGTAAAGTCCAGAGTCACAATCCAATGTAAATGAACACAACTTTAGCTTCTTAAAACTTTTACATTTACCATACGTGGTATTAAATTAGGATTAGCCTTTCTAGTTTAAAAAATGAGCAATCAATATTTTCTACAGTGATAAAAAAATTCTTGAATACACACTGTATAGTAAACGGCAGATTGAATCGGGAGTCATCACAACAACCAAATCAAAATTTAGAAAAAAAAAAATGAATAAAGAAACAAAAATAAGTAAATGAAACAACAAACCACTCATATCTTAGGTACGAGGCAAGAAATTAACAAACCATAACATGTTCCTTAGCAGAAAATGCATAGCTTTATTATAAGATATATACCATGATACTAAACAAATTTGTGTCTTAAAAGAGAGAAACTGATAACAAGAAAACTGAAACATTTCAATCAATTTCCAAATACAACAATAACCTCAACCCACGAAATCAAGGCAAAGAGTACGAAAACTAAAAAGAAAAAGAAAGAAAATATACAAAATAAATTTTACACAACTTCAGAAGCGTAAGAATTTTCATAAAATATGACGAAAAGAGAAACGAACCTGTAAATCTTCTAAGCTGATGCCAAATTTTATGGATTGGATGGTTCAAGAATCTTCCAAAATCGACAATGGAGGCCACATTTTGGAATTACCACTGTCAAAAAAAGAAACGAATAACTGATGATGAGATTTTGTTATGTTACTTAAATAGAAAGAAAAATCACAGGAATGGAAGATGAGATTTTCTTAATATGAGAATGAGTTATTTGCTGGCGTAAGTCAACGAGGGGGTATCATTTCCGTTCCAATTTCAAGAACAAATTGTTGGATTGTACAGCTCTTGTAGCCGAATTATTAGAAAACAGATCAGCATGTATTTTTCCTCTGATTTGATTAGATTAGTTTCCTATTTTTTTCCTCCTAGAATAGATTATATATTGGTGTACTAATATTTTTTTCCTCCTAGAATGAGAATTATTATTCCTTCTCTCTTTCTTCTTTACGTTATGGTATCAGAGCATTAGGCTCTTTTCTGGGTTTCTTTTTGCTTTCGTTTCTCTGGCCTTCATAGCCATATTTGTTTCTTGATCTTCTTGGCCTTACTGTGGTTTGTTTTTCTGGCCTTCATTGCTGGAATCTCCCTTTCTAAATCACTGCAAAATAGCCCAATACTATTCTCCTTTTCTCCTTTTTTTTTTTCTCAAATTAGAAACGCTGAACCATCATGTCTGAGGTTGTAAACAGTTTTGCTCAATTTGAAGAGATCAATTCGAATCAGTCCACTAGTGATCTGCAAAGTGTTCGGGCTACATATAGGTTGGTTGAACGGGAAAATTTATCTAAAGTGGTCTCAATTTGTTCGAACTTATTTAAAGGGAAAAGGGAAACTTTATCATCTTCTAGGGACAGGACCGAAGCCTGGAGAAAAAGGTTTTGATGCATGGGTTAAAGCAGACTCAATGGTCATGTCATGGCTGTGGGATTCTATGAATCCTGAAATCAGTGACACCCGCACGTTTTTTACTTCTACAAAAGCTATTTGGGACTCAATTCAGCGGACTTATTCAAAGGCGCGTGATGCTGCTCAAGTGTACGAGATAAAGGTTAAGATGAGTGCGACCAAACAAGGGAATAAATCAATAACTGAGTATGCAAATTTGCTGCAAAACTTGTAACAAGAACTTGATCACTATAGGGTCATTGAGATGAAATGTCCAGATGGCGCTGTTGTTTTGAAGAATTTCATTGAAAAGGATCGTGTGTATGACTTTTTGGCTGGCCTTAATCTTGAATTTGATCAAGTTAGAATTCAGATTCTCGGCAGGGAGAAAATACCATCATTAGAAGAGGCAATCTCTCTAATTCAAGGAGAAGAGAGTCGAAGGGGTATAATGCTCAAACCTCAAACTCTAGAGAATTCAGCCTTGATCACAAGAAGTGAACAACCTCAGATGCTAGAAAGAGGGGAAGTAGACCTGTCCAGGCTTTCAAGGAGAGAACAAAAACAATCAGTGGAGAGACAACAAAGACAATTTATGGTGCACCTACTGTAAAAAACCAAGGCATACCAAGGAGAGTTGCTGGAAATTGAATGGTAAACCACCAAGCCGAGAATGGGGAAATCGTGGAGGCCAACAGAGGTCTCAATCTCAGGCACATCTGACAGAACAAACCAGCCAAGATGAAAAACAGGAGAAAGGAGGACTCAACAGTGAAGAGATGGAGAAACTCAGAGGCCTGATAGGATCTCTCGAGAAGCCTTCTGGTGCATGTTCATTGGCACTCTCAGGTAAGTCTTCACTTCCTTTTGGATTACATGTCTCAGAAAAGTGTTTGACAAACTCTTGGATAATTGACTCTAGGGCCACAGATCACATGACTCACACTTCACAGTATTTCAGCAGTTATACTCCATGTCCTAGTTTACAGTTGCAGGATTAGGAGATATCTATGTGACACCTACCCTCATTCTCAAAGATGTCCATGTACCAAAATTGTCAGCAACCTTGTTTTAATTCAAAAGCTCACCAAAAGATCTAAAATGTTATGCAATTTTCTGTGGAAATTGATAGGTCAATTAAGAATACTTAGCCGTCAATCTCACATAATTAGAGGTAATAAGCCTCTTTTATATACAATTAGGTTACAATCAGTTAGAGAAAAAATAGGAAACTAACTCCTAATTTACAGCTAGCTACAAATCAACAACTAATCTACCATACAGAGATTACATATATTTTCGAAAATAGAATTTTCTTAACAGTAGGAAATAACACGTTTCTCAACACTCCCCCTCAAGTTAGAGCATGAATATCAATCATGTCCAACTTGGATAAATGTTCCTCGAACCTGACCCGTGGTAGACCTTTTGTTAGAAAATCAGCAAGTTGTCCTTTGGATGTGATGTAAGGTATACATACGAGCCCTTCTTCGACCTTCTCTCTGATAAAATGTCTATCCACTTCCACATGCTTAGTACGATCATGGTGGATTGGATTGTGAGCAATACAGATTGCTGACTTGTTGTCACAATACAACAACATGGGATTCTCATTATGAAGTGATAGCTCGAAGTTCACATATTCCTTGTGCAAGAGCTCGAAGTTCGGCTTCAGCACTACTCCTTGCAACCACTGGTTGTTTTTTGCTTCTCCAGATCACTAGATTGCCCCATATAAATGTGCAGTACCCAGTGGTAGACCTTCTATCATTGGCTGATCCAGCCCAATCTGCATTAGTAAATGCCTCGATCTTCCTTGAATCATTCTTTTTGAAAAACAACCCCTTTCCTGGGGTTCCTTTGAGATATCTCAGAATGCGATGAACTGCTCCAAGATGTTCTTCATATGGCTCGTGCATAAATTGGCTGACCACACTTACAACATAGGTAATATCAGGCCGTGTATGGGATAGATAGATTAGACGCCCAACCAACCTCTGGTATCTCCTTTTATCGACAGGCACCTCTCTTTTCTTATATCCCCAACGTGTGGTTCTCTTCAATAGGTGTATCTGCTAGTTTACTCCCCAGAAAATCCGTCTCTCTGAGCAAATCAACAGTATATTTTCTTTGTGAAACATAAATTCCTTTCTTTGATCTTGCGACTTCCATACCGAGAAAGTACCTCATGGGTCCAAGGTCCTTGATTTCAAACTCTTTGGCTAGAACCTGCTTCATTCTTTCTCCTTCGGTTGTGTCATCTCCAGTAAGAAGGATATCATCAACGTGCACAATTAGAACTGAAATTTTCCCATCTTGAGATTTCCTGAAGAACAAAGTATGATCAGTGTGAGCTTGGGTGTATCCATATCTCTTCACCGTTTTTGAAAACCGATCAGACCAGGCTCTTGGAGACTGTTTTAATCCATAGAGGGATTTTTTCAGTCTGCACACATTATCCATACCATAAACGTCTTCAAAACCTGGAGGAACATCCATAAAAACTTCTTCGGCCAAGTCCCCATTAAGGAATGCATTTTTGATGTCGAGTTGGGAAATTTTCCAGTCTAAGTTTGCAGCAACAGAGAGGACTCGAATAGTGTTGACTTTCGCTACTAGGCAAAGGTTTCTTGATAGTCTATTCCATAGGATTGTGTGAATCCTTTTGCGACCAAGCGAGCCTTATATCTTTCAATAGAACCATCCGAATTATACTTCACCGTAAACACCCATTTGCACCCAACTATTTTCTTTCCCTTCGGTATTGCTACACACTCCCAAGTTCCATTTTTCTCTAGTGATCTCCTCCATAACAGCTGCTCTGCCTCTTAAACTAACTTAGGAATCACTACACTGGACAGATTAGTGGCAAAAGCTCGATAGGATGGAGACAAATTACTAAAGCACATGTAGTCTGAAATGGGATGAGAAGTACATGTTCTTTTTCCTTTTCTTAGGGCAATGGGAATATCTAAGTCCTGAACTAGTGTAGAATTACCTGGACTTTCGAAGGGGACATGATCTGCAGGAGGGTTCAGACTTGAAGTATCAAGGACTGGTGGATCCAATGACTGGTTCTGCCTTGGTGTGTGAATTCCTTCATTTCCCTTTCTTTTCCGTCTCTTAGAGACAAATAATTCAAGACTTTGGACCTCTTTCCCAGTTTTTTCCGTGAGTGGAGTGGACTTGGAAGTGGACTCGGGTGCAGTGGGTAGTTCCTGAGGAAATGAAATAGAGTGATCTGGTGGAGGAATGGAAGCAGGTTGGGGACTTTTGAGCACTGAGGTGAGAGGGCTCACAGAGGTAGGAAGAGTATCCCAAAAATTATCCCAAGAAATCTCTTCTGTTTTCACACTCTCCCCTGAAGAGAGTTTTTGGTAAAGTAGGGCTGATTCTCAAAGAAGGAAACATCTATACTAACAAACATTTTCCTAGTCTTTAGATCAAAGCACTTATACCCCTTTTTTGTTGGTGAGTAGCCCAAGAAAACACATTTGATGGCCCTTGGATCAAATTTACCCCTGCTATGGGAATGGATATGGACGAATGAGGTGCACCCAAATATCCTAAGTGGTAGATCCGAAATCAGACGATTTGTTGGATAGACACTTTGAAACATTTCTAGAGGAGTCTTGTACCCTAGAACTCGAGTGGGCATTATATTGATGAGAAATGATGCGGTGAGGATAGCTTCTCCCCATAAGGTTTTAGGCACATTAGTGGTGAACATTAAAGGACCTAGCAACTTCAAGTAGGTGCTTATTTTTCCGTTCAGCCACCCTATTTTGTTGAGGGGTATCTACACAACTACTCTGATGAACAACTCCCTCACTTTGAAGAAATTTTCCAAGAACAATTTTAAAATACTCACTCCCATTGTCTGTCCTGAGGATTTGAATTTGGGTTTGAAATTGAGTTTTGACCGTTGAGTGAAAATTCTTAAAAACTTATTTTGTTTCAGATTTTGTTTTTAAGAGATACACCCAACATAGCCTAGTATGATCGTCGATGAAAGTAATAAACCATCTAGCACCTGAAAAAATTTTAACTCGTTAGGGACCCCATATGTCAATTACTGAGAATGGTGTTGAATGTTTGTATGTTTGAGATGGAAATGATACACGGTGATGTTTGGAGAGTTGACAAATTTCACATTGAAAGGAAGTGGGGTCTTTATTATTGAAAAGAGATGGAAACAAATTTTTCAGATATGGAAAGCTGGGGTGGCCGAGTCTATAGTGCCACAACATAACATTATTCTCACATAAAGAAACAGAAAAAGATTTGCAGTCTGGATTTTATCTACTTGAGTCTTCCTTGTCTAGGTAATAAAGTCCTCCACACTCTTTAGCATTGCCAATCATCTTCCCCGAAGCCAATTCTTGAAATTGAAATGAAGAAGAGCTAAACTTAGCAACACAATTGTGATCCTGGGTGAGTTTGCTAATGGATAAAAAGTTGCATGAAATAGAAGGAACATGAAGTACAGACTTTAGGACCAGATTTTTGGGCAAAATGATTGAACCTTTTCCTGCTATTGTGGCTAACGAACCATCAGCAATTTTTAATTTCAGGTTACCAGCACAAGGAGAATAAGAGGAGAAGAGTGAGGAGCAACATGTCATATGATCTAAGGCACCAGAATCTATAACCCATGGGAATCTGTCCTCCGTTAGCACACTGAAGGACCGAGGAAAATTACCTTTCTGGGCAATCGAAGCAGATGGAAGGGAGGTAGAATTCAGGAGTTTCATAAGGTTTTCGAGTTGTTCCTTATTAAGGGAAACATGAGCACTTTCTGGTATTGATTCCTCAGAGGCCGTTTGAAGAGCTCTGCTAGTCCCTTGGTCTGGTTGTCCGTTTTTCAGATGAGGGGGTTTTCCGCGCAGTTTCCAGCAAGTTTCACGAGTGTGTGCAGATTTTTTACAATGGTCGCACCAGGGTATATTTCCCTTTTTATTTCGAGGTTCAATCCCACCATTAGAAAAGGTGGAGAACCTGTTGCTTCGGACTACAAGAGCGGATGATTCTGACTCAGTGACAAGAGCCTCTCGGGTCTCTTTTCCCAACATAACACTCCTGCTTTCCTCCCTGCGGACCTCAGAGAATACTTCACGAGTGGATGGCAAGACTTCACATCCAAGAATTCTACCACGAACCTCATCAAGTTCGTTGTTCAAGCTAGCCAAGAATGCGAAAACACGATCCTTCTCGATCATCTTTTTGAATATGGCACTGTCTTGTGGACAGTGCCATTCATAGTCGTAAAATAAATCTAGCTCCTGCAATAAGGTTCTGAGCGTATTATAGTATTGCAACACACTCAGATTGCCTTGTTTCGTGTTGCGGATGCGTGTGGTAATTTCATAGACCTGGGCAGAATTTTCCCAGATCAGAAAAAGTCTCCTTTGCAGCTTCCCAGATTTCTTGAGCAGTGGCCAAGAACATATAAGTCTTACTGGTCGCTGGCTGCATCAAATTGATTAGCCATGACATGATCAAGGCATTCTCAGATTCCCAAGTCTCAATGGATTCAAGACCTTTTGGTTTCTGTGTCGCTCCCGTCAGAAACCCAGTCTTTCCATGGCCCCGGATGAATAACATGACCGACTGGGACCATTGGAGATAATTTTCTCCATTGAGTTTGTGAGTGGTAATTGGGTGAGAAGAAAGATTGTCATGAGTAAATCTGGAGAGTAGGTTTTGAAGATGATTTCGCCGATCCAGAATCGAGCGACTTATCACTTGCACTGGATGTGCCAAACATGGTGGCTGTTTGATTTTTCGAGTGATCAGATGTTTGGCTCTGATACCATGTGGAAATCGGTAGGTCAATTAAGAATACCTAGCCGTCAGTCTCACATTATAATCAAAGGTAATAAGCCTTTTTTATATACAATTAGGTCAACAACTAATCTACCATACAGAGATTACATATATTTCCGAAAATAGAATTTCCTAAACAGTAGGAAATAACACGTTTCTCAACATTTTCCATCCTTCTTACTGTGTTTTTCAAGAATAGGGTTCGAGGAGGAAGATTGGACTTGCTAAGGAAAAGAATGTACTCTACTA